AAACCTACCTAATGGATACAATGAACACTATTTGGGTGATGGACACACTTATAACCCTGACTGAAGCATAACAAAAGCGATCCATGGAACCAAAAATATTTGTACTCCCATAATATTTCAAAATGATTAAAAGAAAACTGATGTCAAAAATTGATATAAAAACATGCTGAGTGTAAAAGGCCTTATGCAAAACAGCATATAATGTAAAATTCCATTTTCAAAACTAAAGTGAGGTGGAAGAAAAAAGTCAGAACTGTGGTTGCCTCCTGGTGAGGGGTTGGAAGTTGGGGAGAAAGCATCAGGGATGATTCAGCATGAGCAAGGGGGAACTTTCTGAATTAAGAGTAATGTTCTTTATCTTCATAGAGGTTTGGCTTAAACAGGTGTGTCTATTTGTCAAAACACAGAATGATATACTTAAGATTTGTGCATTTCATTTTTGTCAATTTTATTTAAAATATCAAACTGAAACCAGTATTGAAGTTCCTTTAATGATATGCTCGTCGACATGTTTGTGGTGATGTGTATTGATTTCTGCAACTTACTTTGAAGTATATCATAAAAATTAGATGAATTGGTGGATGGATAGAGTAATGGGTAGATGGATGGATATGTTATAAAGCAAATACAGTAAAATGTTATCGGTAGATTCCAGGTAGTATTTATATGGATGTTTACTTTAATTCTTCCAACTTTTCTGTATGTTCAAATTTACAAGTCAAATATTGAAGGAAAGAAACTTAAGTCTTTATAATGGTTCATTGCTTATAGAATCTGCCTCCCCCTCCACTATTTTCTCTTAGGCCTCAACTTCCATTATTCTTCCCCCTCTCCCCTCCTATATCATGCTTCAGCTGCATTGGCCTTCTTGTTATTCTTGAAACATCAGGCATGCACCTCACTTATACCCTTTGACTTTTATGTCCTCCACTTAGAACACATTTCTCCCAGATTTCAACATGGTTTACAGCCTGATCATCACTCACCTTCTTCATGTCTTTGCTCAATTTACCCTTTCATTGAGGTCTTCTCTAACATTTAAGCCTGCATGCCAGCATTTGACCATAATTTTTCATTTTAGTTTTCTTTGTAGCACTTATTACTATCTGACATACTGTATTTTTGACTTTATTTATTTGTAGATTCAAATTTAACAAAGGCAAAGATTTGCGTCTATTTTCTCCCCAGCATGTTGAACAATACCTGGCACATAACATGTGTTCAGTAAAAATTTGTTGAATGAATTAATTAGACTTGTAAAAGAGCTGAATAAGTGGTAATGGTGAAATTTAATAGGGCCAGTTGTATAACTTTTATATAACATACTAAAGTACAAGAAGGGGGAAAATGACAGTGGCTGTGGAAAAATTATGAATGAATTTTAGTCAAATTAAATGAGTTAACATATCAATGTCTGAACATGGTAAATGCTATGCAAGTATGTGTGATTATTCTTTATTGTTTGGGCAAGGTTTGCAATCTCGCATCAGCAGCGTTATAGGAGATTTCTAAAAGAAAACAACAAATTAATTCTATCTCACACCACATTAATAAGAATAGCAGTTAGAATAAGAGAATAGAAAGACTATGCTGGCCATCAAAGCTCTGAGCACCAATATGTTCTGAATAACTCATAAAAAGGGAGCATAGATATCTTGTACCATATTTGTATTGGAGCAACTATAATGGTAAGGATAATTGAAGGTGTTTATTTGAGGAAGAGAATATTTTTGTATTGAAATATCTGAAGAAGGGTCATTTGGAAGAATTGTTCCCTTAGTTTTGTCAACCCTTGGGAGCTGAAATAAGAACAGTGGGTGAACACTGTGGAATAATAGATTTTATAACAGTATAAGAGAAGATTTTCCAATATTAGCTATCTAAACATATGATCACCTTCCCAGATAGATAGGATTCTCTGAACTGCAGATATATGAACATAGGCTGTGCAAAGGTGTGATATATATATATATATATATATATATATATATATATATAACATGGGATATGGTGCTACAGTAACCTGAATCCAAATTGCTATGTACAACTTATTAGTTGTGTGACCTTGAGCAAGTGACTTAAACTCTATAAGCCTCAGTTTCCTCATCTGTAAAATGTACTTCAACATTGTAGGGGTTATGGGAATAAAATGAAATTAAATGAATGTTAAGAATCAAACACTACATTTGGCACATATTAGGCCCTCTTTAATATCTGAGAGGTGATTAAAATACTAGAGTGTATGGATAGACTAAAACCAAAGTGCTTTTGAAGTCTAAGAATTTTCGATTCCTTGATATTATGCATTTAACTTGAGGTATACCAAAAATTGGATCCCTGAGCTGACATCTAAGTCAATATATAAACAATTTGTATTTTTCTAAGGAGAGCCAAATATTAGTGTTAGATAATAGGCACTTAGCAAGTTAGAACTTTACCCTATGTTTTAAAAACAAGCAGAATTTTCCCTTTCTTCTGCATGTCTATCCATCACATAATATAAATAAAATTTCTGAAGAAGCATATCATGGAGAGAAGACATAACTATAATAGTAAAGCCTGAGTAGTGTTGCGAGAGACACATACAAGTCCCTTTAGAATTTAGGTGTTTTTATTAGTTTCGAAAGGCTGACATGTTTTAATAGCATATACATTCTCCAAGTCAATGAAAATTTCCTGTATTTCACATCAATACTTTACTTTCAGGTCCCATATAGAATAGTGAGAGAGAAAAACAGCAATAAAAAGTAGAAATAATTAGGAAGAGAAAATATGAAGGATAAAGAAAAATAAAATGGGAAAAGAAGGCACGGCGTGCTTGGATAAAACAGGATGGAAAATAAAGAATAGATAGTGTATGCTTATTAAATAAACACCATTAAGGAAACACATTTTAAAATCTACTTCTCCATATTTAAGAATTAACATCTACAAGAAATCTCAACATTTGTTTCATTTATATAACATGTAGTCATTACAACTTTCCAGTCTATAAAAGTCCCTCTTGTATTATCATGGGTGGAACTGGAGACCATTCTCCTAAGCGAAGTATCACAATAATGAAAAATCAAGCATCAAATGTACTTACCATCAAATTGGTATTAACTAATCAACACTTAAGTGCTCATAAAGTAGTAACATTCGTTGGGGGTCAGACAGATGCTGGTGGGAGGGGACAGGTATATTCACAACTAATGGGTGCAGAGAACACCATGTGGGGGATGGACATGCTTGAAGTTTTGACTTGGGTGGGGCAAAGGCAATATATGTAACCTAAACATTTGTACCCCTGTAATACATGGAAATAAAAAAATTAAGAATAAATAAATAGGTGTTTTTTATGATTTTTAAGATAGGATAATCTCAAACACAAGACATCCTCTGAGTTGATAATAAAAAAGATGCAATGATGATTTATGGCAAATACATAATGTGGAGTCACCTTCATTTTCAACTACATCTTTGGTGGCTCCCAGTTTCTTATTAAAGTCAAATTCATCCTATACTTAACTAAAACAAATGCTTCAAGAGCTAAGTTGCTTGTTCCTGGTAACAACTGTCAAGTAGCCTATTTTCCACATCTTTCTTTTTCTTCTACAGTCTCCCCTTTAAGAACTCAATGTCCCTGTGCTTTATTTCAACTTGTCTTTAAAAAAATCTGTCTTTCAGAAAGGACCCAAAAAACTATCTTGTACTTAAAAGGAAAACATGAGTTACTTAATGTCTATTTTATAGGAAATTTTCATTTTGAAAAGGAACAAGTCTTAAAGCCAAAGAAATTACTTTTAAATATCAGCAAACTGGCAAAGGGAGTACATTTCTAAGGAAGAAATGTCATCTCTTCCATATGATATTATGTTAAAAACAAAATTGGTATGAGGTGCTTTCTTTCGGCATGAACAACTGCCAAGCAATGGATTCAAAAATGAACAAACAAGCAAACAACAAAAAAGAAAAAATGAAAATATGCTCTTAAGTCATTTACAATGATGATGGCAATGTTTGAGCCTCTTAAGCTTCCTTCAAATGAATACTAGCTTGATCCAGAAAGGAATAAATATAACAAATTAATAAAAATATTCTAATTAATTTATAACAAAAATAAATTTTTCTAATGTTTCAGCCACATCTAAAATATCTCAGGCAATCTGTAAGTCTAGAGAGTACTATCATAATTTTCCTTTCTAAACAAAGAACAAACATAGGTACCCAGGGCAATAGGTATAGACTCAAGGTTTGTATTGGAGGGACTTATTGAAGAAAAGTACTTTCCCAACAGTGGTATTTTCATGAAAATAAATTTCTCCATGCCAATTATTGACATAAGTAATTTCAATGAATTATTTTTTATTTCATAATATTATGGGGGTACAAACACTTTGGTTATATATATTGCCTTTACACCACCTGAATTAGAGATATAAATGTGCCCATCTGCCAGAAAGTGCGTGCCACACCCATTAGGTTTGAATTAACCCATCCTCTCCTCCCTCTTCAATGAATTTTCAAAGAATTTTTATAAAATGTATTAAGGCCTGTTCTCTCAGGCAATTCAAAACCCCAAAGAACAGTTATAGATTGTACCAAAAGAAAACTTCACACAAGAAAATTATTTCATAAAGGAAGATTGTTCCAAATCATAAATGTAAATAAAAAAAATAGTTTTTGTTTTTATTTCAGAATATACTGAAAAGATACTGCTCACATTTGTTCATTATATTGTACTTTCTTCACTGAGTTCATGGTTTGTTTTTCTCTCATATTATAGAATATTTTCTTCTATAAGAAAATATTTAGTATTTTCCTTGGTTTGTCTAATTTAAATGTATGTTACCTAATAACCCAAAATTTGTTTTAAGCATTCACTATATATGTATGCCTCTTAATTTTTATGTGGAGTAATAAAGGATATATAATTATTTAGTACCCTAGTATCAAGAATAATTTAATGCCTTTGAAATATTTTATTTTACAAAACAAAATCTAAGAAAGCCACTTACCACATCTATCATATCAGATTCCATTTCATGGCTGAGATCAGGCTATAAGAAAAAGAAAAAGAAGTTAGTGTCTAATTGTTAATATGAAATCTCTTTGCTATTTAAGTGTACAGAATAAATATTAACTATAAATACAAATGTGTTTAAAATAATCTATTCATTTCTAAGTTACAGAAGGTCATTCTTTTATCCATTTACATTTATTGTGATTATGATACATTTGGACTTATTCTACCATCTTAGCTTATGTCTTCTATGTACCAAGTTTTATTCTTGGCCCACTTTCCTCCTCTTCCCTACATTTTATTAATATTAAATTTTCTTCATTCCCTTTGTTTCCTATTTTGCTGGAAGGACATTCCACATTCTATTTATATACCTTTAACCTAAGAGTTTTAACATGAATAGCAGATTTATTCTGATTAGTCAACACATATATCCTTCTCTGATCAGTATGATGCCCTTAAAACCCTCATACTTCTGTTTCTTTTCTTTTATCTCTTGTGCTATCATTGTCCAATATTTTAGTTCCATCTTCTTCAACTGCCAAAATTAGTCTTCTTTAAATGCCAAAGCTTATAAAGATAAACGTTTTAATGATTTTCCTGTTCACCATAGCTTCTTTTTAAATACTCCATTTATTTCATAATTAATAACATACAAGTTCATTAATCATAATTATACAACTTTATGATATTTTTACATATGTATGTAACTGCATGATCACAACAGAAGTAAGAATATAGAACTTTTCCAGCACCCCATAAAGTTTCCTGCATGCTCCTTCCCAGTCTTTACTCCAAGTGGTAACCAACATTCTTAATTATCTCATAATTATATTTTTTTCCATTTTGACCTTCATATATATGGTAAATATTTCTTTCCCTCTGGTTTCTTTCACTCACCATACTATCTGGAATAGTCATCTGGGTTGTTGAACACCACCTATTTTTGGTTTTACATGATATTAAATATATTTTTCTATTCTTTCAGTTTCAATACTTCTGTATCCATATATTTAGAGTTTAAGTTTTATAAAAATCATTTATATCAATTTTAATACAGAATTAGAATGTTCATCTTTTAAATGGAGTGTTAAGCTATTTAAATTTCCTATAACACCTAAGTGGACATATAGGAATAACATCTATGGGGCGTCAGGCAGATGCGGGGGAGGGGATGGGTATATTCATATGTAATGAGTGTGATGCACACCAACTGGGGGATGGACACCCTTAAAGCTCTGACTCGAGGGGGGCGGGGAGGCAAGGACAATATATGTAACCTTAACATTTGTACCCCCATAATATGTTGAAAAAAATAAATTTAAAAAAAAAGCTATTTAAATTTAGGGTAATTGTTGATACAGATACATTTATATGTGTCATTTTTATAATATTTGCTTTTTTCCATTTGTTATCTGATTCTTTATTCCTCTTCCTTGTATGATTTTTGATTAAATATTTGTATTCTATTTCTTCTCATTTATTAGGTTTTGATTTATGCCATTTTTTACCATTATTTCCATGGATACTATACAGCAGGTTTTTAAAATATGTTTTGCAATACTCTATGCATTCCCAAGATCTTTTCAGGGGGTTCATGAGTTAAAAATTATTTTTATAATAATACTAAGAGAGTATTTGCCTTTTTCACTCTCATTTTTAATTAATATAAAGTGTACTATTACAGAGGGCTATGACATATGATATTACAAAATGTTAAATGCAAAGCAAATATGACTATCCAGCCATCTTCTATTAAACCAGAAATAAAAACATTTGAAAAATATAAAATGATACAACTCTTCTGCTTAATTTTTGTTTGATTTTTAAAAGTAGTTATTTAAAAAAAAAAATATGCTACTTATGTTATCATGTAATAGGCTTATTATTAAAATCTAAATGAATTAACAAATGTTTTTAAACTCAGTCTGATTTTTAATATGGAAGCTATTGATAGATTTAATCCACATAAACAAAGGGTCTTTGAAGTCCAAAATATTTTTAAGAGTATAAATAACTCCTGAGATGAAAAAGTTTGATAACTATTGCACTACAGCTTACAATATGAGTCTAATCTATTTCAGTCCACATTTAATGGGTAATCCTACCACTTCCAGCCACTGCCTAGAATTTTACAAAAAAGAAAAATTACAAAAATAGCTGTGCCACTGTTATATGTTTGACTTTTATAAATGTTATGCATATGATATTAATATTGTTTTGTTTTAAACAAGCATTAATCTTTTCTCTTTTACCAACATATTTACCTTTTCTAGGGCCCTTCATTCCTTTCTGTAGTTTTTTACTTCCACCTGAGATGATATTCCTCTAGGCAGAAGAACTCTCTAATCATCAGGAAAATGCAAATCAAAACCACAATGAGATATCACTTCTCTCTCATGAGAATGGCCTTTATCAAAAAGGCCCAAAACAATAAATGTTGACAAAGTTGGCATGGATTTGGAGAGATAGGAACACTCATACACTGCTGGTGGGACTGCAAACTAGTACAAACTTTGTAGAAAGCAATATAGAGATACCTTAAAGAGATACAAGTAGATTTACCATTTGATCCAGCAATCCCATTACTGGGCATCTACCCAAAAGAACAAAACACATTCTATAAAAAAGACATCTGCACTTGAATGTTTATAGCAGCACAATTCACAATTACAAAGATATAGAAACAATCCAAGTTTCCATCAATACATGAGTGGATTTATAAAACGTGGTATGTATGTACACCATGCGGTTCTACTCAGCCACAAAAATCAATGGTGATCTAGCACCTCTTGTATTAATTATCCTGGATAGAGCTGGAACCCATACTACTAAGTGAAGTATCCCAAGAATGGAAAAGCAAGCATCACATGTACTCATCATCAAATTGGTATTAACTAATCAACACTTAAGTGCACATATAGTAGTGACATTCATAGGGTGCTGGGCAGATGGGAGAGGGGAGGAGGGGATGGGTATATGTGACTCCATAGAACTATTACTTTATTGAAATGCACCCTATGATATTAGAGACAGAAAAATTCTCAGGAGTTCTGCAAGGTTTTGCCCTAAAGGAATATGTGAACGTCTTAGTTTGCATATCAAAGGCTGCCTCATGGGAGGGTCTCTCAGAGGTCTGTAGAACCTGCTTACCAAGATGATACTGCAGCCTCAAACCTGTGGTTTTCACCTGCTTTGAAGACAAAGCAGGTCTTCCTGGAGCCACAGGATGAGAGCTGATCAAAGAGTGCCCACCCACCTGAGAGACAGACATCTCTGGCTAAAAGCAATTAGCTCAAGGGACAGTTCCTGCTTGACTTCTGACTGCCTGTCTCAATCTACAATAACTAGATAAAGAAATATGGAGTCTCTATATCTCTGTGTAACCCTTCTGTTAAGTGATAGCTATACCTTACAACTTAGAAGTTTGACTTTGAAAGATTTTGTAACCATTTGTTCACGTAGATAGAGTTAAGTAAGGAATATATAGAAGCCTTTTGAAAGAATTTTAATCTAAAATGAAATATCTGTTATTATGTGAATATGTTAACCCTGGCAACCAATCACTGTACCTATAAATACCCATGTGAAACTTCACTCCAGGCCTCACAACTGACGGGGATATTATGGGGACTCCTGAGTACCCCCACTTTTGCTTTTCTTTATAAATCTATAAAACTTTACCTTCGTCTCTGTGTATTCTTTTATTTCCATTATTTTCTATTTTCCATTATTTTCTTATCCTTTGCGAAGACCCCTGCCTAAGAGACCTGATGTTTTTGCTGGGAGCATTGCTAACTCCCTGCAGGTATATTCACACCTAATGAGTGTGGTGTGCACTATCTGGGGGATGGGCATGCTTGAAGCTCTGACTCAGGTGGGGAAAGGACAATATACATAACCTAAACTTGTGTACTTCTATAATATACTGAAATACAAAAAAATTTAAAAAAAATAATAAAAGAAAATAAAAGAACTCCATTTACTATAGTTCAGGTCTCCAACATTTACTATAGTTCATTCATCCTTTCATGATTTATTTTTGTTCAAACATCTTAATTTTGCCTTCAGTTTTAAAGGGCACTTACATATACTCAATTGTGTCCTCAGTTGTGAAGAACAGAATACAAGTTGGCAAGGTTTTTTTTTTTTTTTCTTTCACCACTGTAAAGATATCACAAAATTGTCTTCCAGCCAGAGTGACCAACTATAGTGGTTTTCCAAGGGCTGTTCAAGTTTGAACATCAAAAAGCATACTTCTTAGAAATCCCTCAGTACAAGGAAAATTAGAATGGTTTATTATTCTACTTCTGGCTTCTACTGCTTCTGCTGAAAAGATAGCTGCCAGTATTAGTGTGGCTCTTTTGAAGAATGTCTTTTTCTGTGGCTGATTTTAAAATTATTTCCCATCCTCGATGTTTCAATAATTTGAATAATTTGGCAATAATGTGTGTAAGTGGGGTTTTGTTTGTTTATAACCTGCTGGAGGTTTGCTGAACTATAATCTATGGGTTGCTGTCTGACATGCATGTTAGACCTTTTGGGCATGCCATACATGTTTTGTATGTAAAAAAAATGCCATACATTTTTTTTCTCTCATTGCTTTAATTTGATTATTTTCAATTGATTTAACTTCAAGTTTACAAATACCATCTGCTATTGAACCCATCCATCAAAATAGTTCTTTTTTATGTTTATAATAATTTATTTTTATTTTTCTGTGGATTTTCTGTTCTTTTATATTTTTATTTATTTTTATTTATTTATTTTTTCTATTTTTTAATTTCAGCTTATGGGGGTACAAATGTTAAGGTTGCATACATTGCTATTGCCTTCCCTCCCCCTGGAGTCAGAGTTTCAAGCGTGTCCATGCCCCTGACAATGCACAATGCACTTATAATGTGTATACATATTAACCCATCCCCACCCCCCACCTACCTGACACACGATAAATGTTTTTTGGTGTTTTTTTTAATAACATTTTGGTTAGATTTTATAACTTTGCTTTACTTAGCAAAGGTTAGAGGTATGTCCTTC